CCCCAAAACCCCAAAACCCCAAAACCCCTATTCTATGTATTTGATTATCTGAGTTTATGACTTAAAAATTAATTAATTTATCATTTGATATCGTCTTAGTCTTCAGTTTTCATTTACTTACCGAAAAGATTTTCATTGGCATGAGACAGAATCGAAAATATCAAGAACACAAATGTTTGGAACAGGTCAAATATATATCTTGGAGCACTTCTTTGAGGCCAAATAAGTTCTCTTTTACTTTTAGCGCACATCATTCCAGAAAACACAAGGTTAAATGAGGCAAAAAATAGCATTAAAAGACTCAGATAAGTGATAATCTTTCTCTAATTTTAGCTTGAAGATAAGTATTTTTTATCTTTGCTCTTAGACAGATCTTCTCTTTTTTCTTATGATTTGATAGAGAGATCATCTGAATGGCTTTCATTCCCAGACATATTGTTCTTGATAATTGCAGGTATCATCAAGAATCCCATAATATGAGAGGTGTATGTGTTCATTAGCACAAACAATCCATGTAGCTAGAAATTATACTCAGTAAATCCAAGATATACCTTTCCAAACTATATAGCGTTAAATCTTTCTCTGTGACTAGTTCTGTAAAAATATTGCTGGATTGTCATGTAAATGAAGATGGAGACAGTGAAGATAGAAGGTTTAACCTTAACTTTATTAAGAATTCTCATAAAAGCCTCCGTCTGAATAACCATTAACGTCAAACTCATCATAAGATTTGGCCCGTTCAAAACATATAGGATATTGATGATTGCAAAGAGATAAGTTTTATTACTGAAACTTTCATTCTGCTTGGTTAAAATAATTCTTAAGAATGTGATTATAAACCAAATGAAGGAAGCAATGATAATTATTTTAGCAACCATATGCTTATATTCGCTTTCTTAAAGTTCATTTAGTGTTACTAATGCAAGTGCCATTGAGAGATTCATTACTCTTTCAAATAAATTAACAGCTGGCTGTATTTAGTAAATGATCACATACATTATAGCAGATAAGTAAACAGAAATAAGTTTTGAGTCTATTACAAAATTCTTCAGCACCTGGAGTTCTGGAGCAGTTTAATCATTCATTGAAGTTTCTTTGTCGTAGAAATATGCCAGTTTGATGCATAGAATAATCACTAAGCACTCTGGCAGTAATTGATTAAATTAAGTTTAGTTTGTAGTTATGACGATAACAGACAATAAAAGCATTAAGTAAGAATCAACAACATATGGATGTTCCTACACAAAGCTATCAGTAAAAGAAGTGATCAAATAAATGATTAGTATCAGAGTGCAAACGATATATTCATATTTCATCAAAGCCTTATTATTGAAACTCCAAACTAAAGCATACCTAAGTAAAATAAAAGCAGTTTTCAATATTACAAAGGCACAGGCTAATACTGCAAATATCTGAACGAAAGTAAGGGGTATCAATATCGCAAATGGAATAACTAAAATCACTATATCCACACTTTTATCCTTGATATGAATCAGTAGAATAGCAAGTAGATATACTAAAAAGATAATTCCCTTATATATAGCAATATCATCATAAGTTGTCCAAAAGCCTTAAAAATCTTTATACTTCGCATTCATGAACTTAATTACCTCTAATTCCCTTTCATCTATATCTATTCCATTGATAATTGACTTCTGATACTTAGAGATTTAACTTTAAATGTCTTACTTCTCTTTTTCACACCAGGCTTAAGCTTCTAAGCCACAGTATGTAATCACATAATTCTCCAACTACTAGAGATTCATAAGATATCTATCATTTACATGCTCGCCATCATATCTGAATACAGGATTTAAAACCCCAAGATTAGAAAATGGGAGACTAATGTTTAGTATAGAGCTTACTATTGAAGCAATATCCATCTGTTTAAGCATTTTATCGATATGATTTTAATGTCTCGATTATCTCTTTTTGTTAGGGAGACCTTGCTTAGCATAGGCAAAGAAAGCAGTTCTTAATTCATTATCTGTACCACCTCCATGGTTTCCTCCATCAGTCATTCCATGATCACCGAACACTAGTAGAGTCGTTTTATCATCCATTAAATCGATAATTTACTTTATAATAGCCTCAGTATCGTTTAACTTTCTTTCAGTCTCTATGTGTTGAGGGCCATAGGTATGACCGGCATGATCAACTCCAATAATGTGGCCAATAAGAAGAGTGAAGTTTTGTAGCTTAACAACTTTAAGCATATCATTGCTTGCACCAATATCTAGAGTATCTAAGTCTGCGACATTAAAAGATGGATAAGGGTAAACAACATCGAAATATTAACTAAACATGTCAAGCCAGATAAAATCACCGGCGAATACAATTTTAGAATCTTTGTAAGTTTGTTTTAACTAATAGAGAATGTTATCATGAGAAACCATTTCGCTCCCAAAATTTTCACTCATCTCAAAAAAAGCATTTAAAGAACCTGTCAGTAAACTTTTAACTCTAACTGAAGTTACAGTGGGCATTTCAGAAAGTTAAGATGATAGAAATGTGTTCTTTGGTTGTTCATTAAGGAGATCATCAAAAAGTTAAATTTTTCGTCCAGTATAAACTGATTACTTTTTGTTTAAAAAATATGGGACATCCTCACCCATCTCAATGAAATCTTCTCTTAAGGCATCAACAAGCAAAATAATGACCTTCTAATCAGGTATATTTTTGTTTTAATGTTTCAGCGGTTCAGATTTGTCATTTATGCTTAACTTAGACAAGAACATTCCAAGCTTGAAATAGTATGTTGAGACTACAAGTAGAGCAATGCATGATATCAATAATTGAAGACTACTTTTCATTTTAAAATTTAAATATTTTTATACAAATAGTAATTCTTGCTAGTAAATTGCAACAAGGGGTTTTGGGGTTTTGGGGTTTTGGGGTTTTGGGGTTTTGGGG